CAGGATATAAACTTCTCGTTATAAAATGATTTCAATCGGTGCATTTCAGACTTTATTAGGTTGTTCATTCTTCTCACACCTATGACATCCTTAATTTGGTATAACATTTAGTTATGCCTGCGAAGCTTTTTAAGTTGAGGAGAGGAGAAACAGTCAAATCTGATGAAGAGCGTTTCTCTAGAACAACAGGTGACGAGACAAAATTTGACATAATATGTGTTTTTGGAGATAGTGTCATCAAGAGGGTCTTCATTAAACAAGTGCCACCTTGTGTTTTTGAGCATACTCCTAAGATTCAGAACATTCTCCCTAGAGTGACATGCATGTAAAAATTTCTTGGAGAGGTGTGAAAAAGTTCTCTTTCGTAACTTTCCATAAATTTTGGGTACAATGATCGGAGTTTAACAGTTTGTTATATCCTCAGGGGACGAATTTCAGCATCTTCGAATACAACATTCTTCGCAGCAACACTATGAGTAGTGCTCTTCAGTTTTACATTGAACTTCAGAAGCCTTTCTGACACGAAATCTCATCTGATCTCTTCTGTGTGCATATATCAGTTCACCTGTTGCTGTGGAGCCAATCCGGTACATTGGTCATTCGACGCGTACTCCGTCAAAAAGCATTCATGAACACTATCCCACAGCATGACTACAAGAAGGTAATAGTGGCTGCAGAAGAGGTGCAATCATCGAACATCTCGTCAACAGTGATCATTTCATTTCACCAAACGTTTCCTGCTTCAAAGTAATCTACGAAGTGAAGAACAACCTACCACGGGAAATACGCTTTCGTCTGTTTTTATTGCTGAAGCCTTAGCCATTCATTCAGTTGGAGAAGCCACAGCTATCCGAACAAAAGCAAAATCAACCTAATTCCAACAACCAACCTATGGCTAGTCAGAAAGAAATGAGCGAGGATCAGAATACTGCTGTGTAGTGAGAAAGGGATGAATTCGGTTGGTGATTTAGACGGAGAAATTATGTTACTTCGAAGCTACCACTAAGGAAGAGGCTGTTAATTCCTGTCATTCATCAACTTTCTATCTGCGTTCAACTTTATACTCCTCTCTCCTACAAAGAAGCATATGTTCATATTTCACCAAACGTTTCAACATATCAATTTTTATCAGCATAGTTATTGATTTCTGTTGGAATTCATCTCACTCACAGTGTATGGATATTCAATATTCATGGTTAAACTGCATTAACTCTGCATCTCCTTGAAATATCCCACTCTCTGTTGAACATTATTCATTAGAATCTCTGTATCCTTGCAGTGTACATTCTCGTGTAGATCACCGTAGGTTTAGATGCACTGTACCCCACCCCCACTCACTTGCAGTGATAGGGCATATAACGAAGTACAAACTACATCTCTCACACACCGAGGTCACAAGATTCTACTCACCATATTTGCGTGTATTACAGTAGCGTATTTAACACACATCCTGTCCGGTGGATTTTGCTTAAACCGAACTCAGACGACTACCTTAAGTAATGACAGGTTCAGTCAGAAATTCTCACTCAGGATTTCATGGAAGAAATGTACATCACTGAAATGTGCTTTAATGTTGCAATTTGAAGCAGTCTTGGTGGCTTGTAAGGAGAAGTATGGTGAGAGATTTGATACGGTGGGAGAACACAAGCTTAGCCTTCTTTCTTTACGGCAAGTTCATACTCTGCCAGGTATTCAAAAGGTTAGATAAGCGATAATGAATGATACAAGTAATGAGGAAGAGAAAATCGATGAGGAAGTCATTCGTGAGTGATGATTGTATTTATTTATCATATATCTTCAAGTAAGCGATTACTTTTCATCAGTCATTCTGACTTATTCTACAAAGACGTGCATGAACTGTGCATCTGGCAACCAGAGGAATGTTGATCAGTTGTTCAAATAATTTGAGTGACGAATATCAGTTACTTACAAAACGAGTGATTCAGTGGAAAGACAAGAGCGTACATGTTGAGACCCGAAAGATGATGAACTATGCTTGCGAAGGTTGAAGCCAGAGGAAACTCTGGTGGAGGACCGTAGCGATTCTGACGTGCAAATCGATCGTATAACGTGAGTATAGGGGCGAAAGACTAATCAATCCATCTAGTAGCTGGTTCCCTCCGAAGTTTCCCTCAGGATAGCTGGCATTCTGATATAAACAGTTTTATCCGGTAAAGCGAATGATTAGAGGCATTGGGGAGAAAACATCCTCAATCTATTCTCAAACTTTAAATGGGTGAGAAGCTTAACTCGCTTAAATGGAGTTTTGCATTGAATATGAGTGCCAAGTGGGCCATTTCTGGTAAGCGGAACTGGCGCTGTGCGGTTAAGATGCCTAACGCGACGCTCATGGGATAGCACGAAAGGTGTTGGTTGGTCCAGACAGCAGGACGGTGGCCATGGAAGTCGGAAACCGCTAAGGAGTGCGTAACAACTCACCTGCCGAATCAACCAGCCCTGAAAATAGATGGCGCTCGAGCGTTGGACCTATACCGTACCGTTGCTGCAAGCTGGGCCTAAGCAGGGTGAGGGCAAACTGACTTGGTCAAGGCATGGAGTGGCGGCGACGAGTAGGAGGGTCGCTGTGGCTAGTGGGAAGCCTCAGGCGTAAGCCTAGGTGGAGCAGCCTCAGGCTCAGATCTTGGTGGTAGTAGCAAATTTTCAAGTGAGAACCTTGAAGGCCGAAGTGGAGAAGGGTTCCATGGGAACAGCTGTTGGCCATGGGTCAGGCGGTCTTAAGTGATCCGGTTAATCGGAACAGAGACGGGGTGCCTGACATTGTCCGCTTGCGGGCTTTGTTAGTATTGCTGATATAGTACTGTTCCGACGCAGCCTCCTGTAACGAAAGGGAATCTGGTTAATATTCCCGACCCTGTCCACGGAGATTGGTGCATGTTGGATCTTTGATTCAGTGTGTGCCCAGCGCGGTAACGCAACCGAACTGGGAGACGTCGGTGAGAGTTCTGAGAAGAGTTCTCTTTTCTTTGTTAGAAGTGCATCCACCCCTTGGAATCGGCTTGTCCGGAGATAGGGGCTAGCCTCCGTAAAGCACCACCCTTCTTGTGGTGTCCGGAACGCTCCTGTCGGCCTTTGAAAATCCGAGTCAGACAGTATAATTTTCGTGGCAGGCCGTATCCATATCCGCAGCAGGTCTCCAAGTTGAACAGCCTCTGGAAATTGAATAATGTAGGCAAGGGATGTCGGCAAATTGAATCCGTAACTTCGGGAGAAGGATTGGCTCTGGAGGCTGAGTCAGACAGGCCGAGATCAGATACGTGTCGGTCCGGTTGGAGGCTAGTTTCTTTGCTGCTTTGATGCACACTGCTGTGGAGTTACTGGACTCTGACCGCGATCGATCGTGGGCGGTTTCAGCTGTTAGTGTTGTATGGCTAACAACGCACGTGGACTTGCTCTGCGTTGCGTCAAGCAGCTGTGCTTCCATTGTTTGGTGCGCGACGGCTAACTCAGAACTGGTACGGACCAGGGGAATCCGACTGTCTGATTAAAACAAAGCATTGCGATGTCCGCTGACCGGTTATGACGCAGTGTGATTTCTGCCCAGTGCTCTGAATGTCAAAGTGAAGAAATTCAACCAAGCGCGGGTAAACGGCGGGAGCGCTACATTCCGCTCTTAAATTACCAACTGTTGTTCTGTGGATTTTTACATACAGAAACACATAAAAACCGTTCCATTTTCATATTTTACGCATATCAAAACCCTATACAACGACTTTACTGCTGGATTTGTGATATTCACTGACTCACCCAGCGCGCGCTCCTTGAATACGACGTGCTTTTTCCTCTCTAACCGGAAAATACCTATTTTGTGAATTATCCGCTTGGGAAACCTGATCTCCCTAGCCGGTGAATTAAATTCAACCATTACTTACGTATTGAATCTCTGTGTGGTAAGTCCAGCTGTCTCGAACTACAGCCAAAGCTTCAGGTGCTATTTTTATAGCAGCATCTTCCTCACTCGTTCAGATAAACAAGACTTGTCGGTTTACCACGTGATTGCTGTGAAGCCAATCATCCAGAAAGTACTAGGTAAAGTCGAAAACCTTTTCTTTTCCTTGTCTTGTACTTTTTCAGTCTTATTCTTGTTCTTGTGGGTAGATACTGATGTACTCTTATTCTTATACAGCATAAGTTTTAGCGATAGTTAATATGGCTGTAGAAAGTAACCTTAGAAATGGCACCAAAACACCTTACTCTGTAGTCACAAGGGCTTCAGCCAGAGAAGGCAAAAACCCAGGGACACCAACCCCAAGTCGCATACCCATCCTAAAGACTCGTGTAGGACTCGTCTGTCCTGATACTATGCCTGCATTGCCACAGTCTAGTACTGAAACGGCACAGGCAATACTAGGGGGACAGGATACTACACCTGCACCAACTGAAAGCCAATGTGTGAAGTATAACAAACCTAAAAGGAAACGCTCAAGACGTCATAAGACCTCGAAGGCGTCACCAAGTAAGGGAGACGAATGCCAGGCGTGCAATATCATTGTTTCTAAAGCTGACTCAGCGTTCGAATGCAATTTTTGCAAACGGTGGGTGCACTGCCGTTGCGACAAAAGGTACCGAAATCATACTACGAGTTTATGAGAAATAACCCATGCCCGTGGTTTTGGTACATCTGTCCACTCTGTCGCCCTGGCATAGTCACACAGAGCGTGTCTGCAGATAGCAGAAACAACACGCCGCCCTTGTGTCCCAACACGGCCTTATGTAGCTCCCCACCTGCAAACATCACATTGCCAAAACTTGGCACAGACAGTAAGAAGGACCCTCCAGTCCTACTGACTGAAAATGCCAATTTTCACAAGGTGAAGATTCAAAAGGTTGGACCCAAAAAATCAAGGAAAGATAGAATTAGAGAAGCGCCACTTGCATCCACAAGCAAGCTCGGCAACACAATAAAGGCTGGCCAGAACCCGACGAAGCCTAAAGTTGCTGATGCTGCAAAGGAATACGAGAAGCCAAAGGCCAAACCTAAGTCTGAGGTTAATCGGTCTAATTCGCTCATCCTCTTTAACGTACCTGTGAGCAAGGACAGCTTGCTTGAACAGCGGGCCCTGTTTGGTCAGGAACAGTGGTTCAACCTGTGCAATAAAGTAGGTCTGAATATTAGTTCAGTGAAATTGTGCAGGCTGTACAGGGGTATCCACACACCTCAAGGTAAGCCACCCCCATTACGGGTTACACTGGACTCTGCCGAAGAGGCCGAGTGGGTACTATTGATGGCTCAGGTACTAGCCATCGACAGAAGCTCTAACATAAGGTTGAGACAAGACAGACCATGGGCTGTTTGACAAATGGCGAGGGAGTCAACGGAACTTTTACCTTCTACCTCTATGGTGGTACACGGTGTTCCGGAGCTGGAAACGGGTACTGCCTGTGAAAAACACATGCATGATGTACAGCAGTGGAGATGGCTGTCGTCTCAGATGGCCCTTGGCGCTTCTGGAGCCATCTCCGTTTACCGACTACCTCACCTGCTCATCTCACACTGATTAGCTCCCCAAAGCTGCTAAGTGTCACATTCAACTCCCCAGAGCAGTCGGCCATAACACTTCAACGGTGGTATGAGATCAAGGGGAAATTGGGAGGACACATCCGATGCTGCGAAAGCAGACCTCGAACCCTAAGGAAGCAGCAAACGGAGGCCTTAATACGTCCTCAAGCTTCAGTGACACTAGAGCGATGCAGTTCTGAGAATAACAGTCTGTGCCACCCAAGTGTCCTGCCTAAATCCAAGGGAAAAAACCACAACGGGCCGGTTCCATCGGAACTAGTCCCAACATTAAGTCCCCTACCAGCAGGCAGCTTCACGTCAACTGCCCCGTAACACGCTGAGGTTGTAAGACTCACTGTCAGCTGCCTATATAGCAATGTGAGGGGGCTGAGAAGAAAAATAGGTGAACTCCGAAATCTCCAAGCACACCTACAACTGAAAATGATCATTCTCACGGAAACATGGCTAACCCCCACTATCGCCGATAATGAAATCAGTGTAGGTGATATGGTTTTAGTCAGGAGAGACAGGGATAATAAGGAAGGAGGGGGAGTTGCCATATACTTTGATAGACAACTTAAATGTGTGCGCGCAACGGACCCATCACTTATTGAACTCCCAGACTCCATATGGTGTCATTTCACCGTAGGCCACACCAAGCATTTACTTGGTGGCATCTACCGATCTCCCACATGTGGGGCAGAGCACAATCAGCTACTGCTCACCACTATCACAGGGATACGAGACTTGGGCTATGACCAAATCACCATTGCTGGAGATTTCAATGCCCCATCACTGAACCTTGGCTCGGGGTATGCTAAGGGAAAATTCGGCCGAAATCTACTGCAAGCTATTCGGAACACGGGACTGACTGAGAACGTTGGAGACGACACTAGGTGGGGCCCTAGTGGAAAGTCATCAAAACTAGACTACATTCTGACTAGTGACCAACTTCTTGTCGAAAAGGTCCAGATCATGACTCCTCTAGGAAGTAGTGACCATGCAGTCATAGGTTTCGACCTCGTTCTCCGTGAGCATTTGCAGTGGGACGCTACGCAACCATGTCTGTGTTACAGCAAGGCTGACTATGCTGAAATGCGGAGGCTCTTGTCCGACGCAGACTGGCCCTTAGCATGGGATGAGCTGTCTGTGGATGAACACTGGGAAGCGGTAAAAAAGATTATTCATACAGTAATCTCGAATACCGTCCCTTTAGTCACAACACAGCCCAAAAGAAATTCATCATGGTTAAAGAGAGGCACGCAGCGTATTCTGCAAGCAAAGCGGAAGGCTTGGTTTACGTGGCGCGTATCTAAAAGCCAGATCGACCATGATGCATACCTGGAACTCAGGAACCGGTGCAATGCAAGATTCAGGAGGGACAGGAGGTCATTCCAGGCTAACTTTGCTAAAAAACTCCTGGCAAACCCCAAGAATTTGTACCGATTCATGTCGGAAAGGAAACCAACCAACCAGGGGGCGTGCGCCTTAGTAGGCCAAAACGGTCAATATCTCACTAGTCTGGAGATGGCTGAAACATTTAGTTTAGCCTTCGCCAAACAGCTAAACAGCAATGTGGGTATTACCGTTACGGACCAAAATGGTGGCATGACTATTTCACAGGAGGAAGACCAAATAGCCACCCCCCAAATAAACCCTGCAATAGTACTGAGAAAGCTGCAGCGACTCATACCTGGGAAGTTCCCAGGTTGTGATGACATCAGGCCATCTGTTCTGAAACAGTGCGCCGAAGCTCTCTGTAGGCCTTTATGCGACTTGTTCCAACACTCCATGGAATCAGGGAAACTGCCAAAGGAATGGAAAAGAAGCATCCTTTCTCCGATCTTCAAGGGTGGGGATAGGCAAAATCCCACAAGTTATAGACCAGTAGCTCTACTCCCAGTGGTATCGAAAGTACTGGAAAGTATTATTGATGATCACATCAGGGAATATCTGGATAGGTCTAAAATACTCCATGAAGCCCAACACGGTTTCAGGAAAGGGCGATCCTGCGTCACCAACTTATTATCAGCTTGGGAGGACTGGACATCATGCTGGGATATGAATGTTCCAGTTCATCTGATCTTTCTAGACTTTGAGAAGGCATTTGACACTGTTCACCATGACCTTCTCCTACACAAAATAAGCCAAGTAGGGTTAGGTAAACCACTTCTGTCATGGTTGAAGGACTACCTAACTGAAAGGCAATTTTGCACCAAGGTCAATCGAGTTCGATCATCATGGCACAGCTCGTCATCAGGAGTGTCGCAGGGTTCTATCCTGGGACCACTGATGTTCTTGATTTTTATCAATGATTTACCATGCCGTCTAAGCTGCCCGACTCTTCTATACTCTGATGACGTGAAGATATGGAGGGCGATAAAGTGTCCGGAGGACTCAGATAGACTGCAGGCAGATCTAAGGCTTCTGGAAGAATGGGCGGTAGCCAGTGGCATGACTTTCAACCTGAAAAAGTGCAAAGTAGTGAAGTTACGCACCTGTAGACTGCAGAATGCAAGTTACACCCTGTGCAATGAAAGCTTGTCCTGCTCAACGTCAGAACGTGACTTAGGTCTAGTTCTAACGGAGAAAATGGACACAAGCGTAAATTACACGGGGGATGTAGCGAGGGCATATGCGGTCATACACTTTACACATAGACAATTAGGTGCACTCACTCCTGAGCTCTTTCTAAGGTTGTATAAAACATACGTCAGACCGCATCTTGAAGTGCATAATATCATTGCACCCCCACTGCTTAAAAGAGACGCCAACCTTTTGGAAAGAGTCCAACGACGGGCAACAAAAGGAGTGGTTGGTCTCCGAAATAAATCATATGATGAAAGGCTGAAGAAATTAGGCCTATTCACACTTAGTTACCATCGTCTTAGGAGGGATTTAATTACTGCCTACAAAATAACAAATGATCAGAATCACCCAAACAAAGGTGTTCTGCCATTGAGTAGGTATAGGCTCCCTCGTGGAAATCCTAGAAGGATAGCTCATCAGAGGGCAAGGACCCGGGTGCGCTCCCACTTCTTTTCCCTGCGGGTTTGCCGTCCCTGGAATTCCTTACCGGCAGATGTAGCTATGGCACCATCTGTGGACGCCTTTAAGCGAAGGCTGGACAACCACGCAGCGACACAAGGACTTCATCCAAATGGCCTATCCCCTTAAAATCGCATACACCATTCAAAGGTAGACAATTAAACTGGTCGTTTTACTTCTTCACATTCTCTTCAGTCTTACTCTCCTGACACCTTTAACTACACCCATTATTATTATTATTATTACTGGTATATATATATATATATACCGGTTGACTGACTGTTGTTACGTTTTCTTATTCTTTTTATGTCTGTTAGTCTGAATACCTTTACTAATTATATCTATTATTATTATTATTATTATTATTATCTCCTTTCTATTGACGACTATACCGAAGGACCAACTGGTGAAAGGATCAACTCCATTCACAGTAGTAACAGTCTTAACACACTTCATACTACAAACCACATATAATTAATCCCTGCACTACTCCTTTTGGAGTCAACCAAAGCTACGGCAGTCGAGTGGCGGGACGAGCCACGCAGACGTTTACCGAAGATCAGGAACCTCTACCTCACAATCAAGAGGCGAGCACAAAGAAATCAAATTGGTTTATACTAGCTCGCAAAAACGATATTGGATATTGGATGCAGGTTGTGGATTTATAATTTATCGGATATTACAGGTGCAATTTGGTGAGTCCCTGCATTTTTCCGACGTGTTGCGTTATATTTCACCTAGTTAATATTATTCCAGTGGTATTCTTCCACTTAACTATTGTTTTTCACAAATTCGATAACTCACTCCCATTTGCGTCTTTGTGTTTTGCTATTATCTCTAATTTAGGGACTATTTCGTAACAATAGTTCTTGTATTTGTTTTTAATAACTTACTTTCATCAAATTAGCGTAGTCTATATAAAAACCGGGTCTTTTTATCCTGATTTATCACTATTCTAAAGTTACCCCTAACCCCCTCTAGACCCTGTCCTCTGAAATTTACATTTTCATCTGTTACATCTGAACTATTAAATCTCTCATTACCATTTTTTACTCAGTGTTGCTACCCACTAAAAGCGTTCTTTTGAGATACATTTCGCCAATTAATTTGTCGATTTTCTCCTGTTAATTCCTAGTAACCTACCGAAAGCATAACATTTTACAGTTTTTTCTTATTTAATCGTTCCTGTTCCATTTCTACTGCTTGCAACTGTTACCATTAGTTGCAGCTCGATAAGTTGAATCTTTTGATACCTAATTTATCTATATTATATGTATGTATATTTCCTTATTCCACTAAATTGTTTCCACTAATTTTCGTCATTTTCGTCAAAAAGTACCTTGGACTCATCTACCGATTTTTCAATATACTAATTTTTACACCTCCACTTCATATTAATCATCTCCCCTGACCTATCTAGTGAGATGGGAGCTACTTTTTATCCAATTAGTTCCTATCGCTGAGTCCCCAGGTAACCTTTTGTCATACCTGTTCCTAATTGACCCCCCGGCTTTTCGAATTTTCGCACTTTCTTCCTTCCTCTCTGAATATTACCGCTCAGAACCGTCTCAAAAGAATTTCTATCATCATTCTCCAACTTAGGAAACAAAATGCCTCGAGCTCCAATCGTTTCTTTGAAAGCTGTGAAACTTTATTCTCCTACGTAACACCTCTCACATAGATTTTTCTGTTGCTCTTAAAAGTAAGCACAACTGCTAATTCACCTTTGATTCGTACTTTTTAACATCATCCCATCATTTTCATCAAAAATTTCTGAACTTTCCGCACTTTCCCGATCTTTTACCAAGGTGTACATTTTTACCGTAAATTACACAATTTCCGTAATTTTTGGCCTACCCCTGAATTTGTGACCCCATAACTTATTCCCCTCTTGAACTCTGAACCGTTACTCAGCTTTTTTATACTCTGTTTAGTATCCTCTTACAATACCTGGAAAACCTGGGTCGGCGCCTTGTAACCTGCTTGATTGAGAGACCCTCCAATTTGCGATTTTCGCTATTTTTCACCTGTTATTTTATGCTTTCTCTCGAATTTGTCATTATATAACTCTGCTGCTATAAAGCCTTTGTGCAGTCTTTTAGCCTCTCTCAAACCTGCTCAATCTACTCTTTTTAAAAGCACTGAAAATCCGAAACGTAAACTGGTAACCTATTCGACTGAACAATCGTCCTTTCCACAATTTTCGCGAATTTTTCACCCAAATTTCTTGCAAGTTTCTAACTTTGAGTTGCATTTTCTGCTCGTTCTTCCAGACTCATCCATAGTTCCCCCATTCCTCTCATAGTGCTCTATAGAAAGCAGTAAGCAGCTTACCCCCAACTAATTTCTACCTCCCAATAATTGCCCCTAAATTCCCATTCCAAACCAATTTTTCTCCGAGAACCTGTAACTCTTACTCATTTTCTAGTGTTGCAGATTAGCAGCTTTTCTTGCATTGACCGAAAACTTGCTAAAGACGCCTGCCATAGACCCTATAGAAATTTTATTGATCTGAATCCATTGGACTAATCAGGCCTTCTGATTGGTCCAGCAGCCCTCACTCTTACAGTAATTTTTAAGCCTTTTCCTTATTTCGCCACCTTCCTGCCCCATCCTTCCTATCCACTTTCTCACCATTCCTCTCTCCGTCGATAGTACTCTTCCTCCTCGATCCAATCCATTGATCACCCACATTCCCTCATTGCTCCATCCCCTGCCGTTTCCTGAGCCCCTGAACTTCACTTTTTGCCCATTTTCCGCTCTGCTTGCTGCTAAGGCGGCTCCTGCTCTTGACATAAATATTTTCCTGTACATATTCCACCCCATCTTTCTACTATACACTGGGCTTTTTTGACCCAGTTTCCCTCCTCATATAGCAACTCCTCTCCCCTGAGGTGAATTTTCCATCTGATTTTTCCCCGCCACCCGTCTTCCTATTTCTGCTTTGCTTCTGGCTTTCCTGTACAAATTACACATCTTTCTAGTTAATAATAATAATAATTTATATTTTCATATAAACATAAATTTAAATGAAAATGCATGCCATTTTTACAGGCACGATCAAGTATGATATAATGACAAATAGTAGATTGTCTACAAGTTAATAATGTTTGAACAGCTAATTATTTGATATATATATATATAATTACACTCATTGTCTGACCCATGTCGTATCATTATTGAATTAAACAGCAGTCCTCCAGGTTGCGCAGAAAAATCGACTTCGTTTCGTTTTCAACCCGTAGTTGTAGTAAAATTATCACTTTTTTTAAAAGTTCAAATTGTTGAATTATATAGTACAAGCAATCGGAACAGATTCTTATAATTGTTAATTTGTAAATCTTCCACGAAGGTTTCCATCAAAGTTGAGCGACAACCACGTGCTTGAACGCTATTTCAGGAAGAGGAGAAAATCCTGCACAGCTACAAAGTGGTATAAAATGCAATCATGAATAATACATTATTGGAAGCATATTTACAAGAAAAATACAAGAATAAGCTATACAGTACTTGATATGATAGTGCACATTTGCAATGTATGATGCTAACCATATTGGTCCTACCGTAGAAAACTATGACGTTTTCTATGAAAATAAAGTTATTCTCAAACATGAGTGCTGTTGTTATGTTTTTTTTTACCATCAGAGCAACCGAACTTTATGCGAGAGAAGAGTATGAATGAGAAGAAAGAAAAACAAAAGAGTAAATTTCAGCTTTACTAAAGGCCTAGGAAGTTGAGATAAAATAGAGTATAATCGTAATTAGGTAGAAAGCCCATGGGATAGCATCTTGAAAAGAAACTGAGCAGGCTTGTAGATGTTAGGAGCGAAAGCATTATTATTTTTTTACAAGCTAAAACTGCACAGTCATTATTGTTTTAGTTAGTTTGTTTTTTTTAAATTTTTTTTTGAAGTCAATTTTTTTATGCTTTAAGTATCTAAACTCATGTTTAGTTTTCGAGCTGCCAAAATAATGCATGTTGCTGTCCTACAGATCGGAGCGATTCACATTTGTGACCACTACCAAATCTGCTGATCAGCATGTAATTTCCATTCAGCTATTTCTTTTATTTTTGTAAAAGTCACGGTGAGGGGTCTATGAACGATCCGTGACACAACTCTGCTCCGCAGTTGTTGTCCCTCTTCGACACGAGACTGTATACTTTACACTCTCCTGTTAAGATCAGCTATGCTTCCTCCGTACCCGTCTACCTCCGTGGCCTCTGCTACGGATCATGCTGATACTCCTCGTCTGGATTCCTCCTTTTCCTCTTCTCCTCCTTCTACACCTGTAAATCATGTATCACCCTCTTCGTCTGCTCCCCTCCAATCCAATTCCCCCGTCGTAGCTGGCTCTTCCACCTCCTCAACAGCCTCAACGCGATCTACTGGCTCAAGCAGCTCCAGTTCTATATTAATATCTCGCTATAACTGTCCCCACTGCCAACGTGACTTCTCCACTTCAATGGGTCTTACACAACATCTTCGCCACGCTCATCCTATCGAATACAATGAGATCCTGTTAGGTAGAATCACGTGTGTTAATAGACCTCCGCGAAACTGGAGAGCGCAAGAGGAACTATCTCTTATAACTATCGCCAACGTCAATGCCAATCGCTTCGCCCTCAAGTCCCAGTTATATATATTCCTGCACAGTCTGCTCCCACATCGCTCCATTGAAGCCATCAAGAGCCGTCTCAAAATTCTACGTTGGTACGTCTCTTCCTCCTCGTCCTCTCCCGCATACAGTTCCATCCCATCCTCCACCTCTTCATCGTCTGAATCATCACCCTCTTTGGCTACCTCCTCTTATCAATCTTCTCGTTCACCTGCCCGCAATTGGTCTCCAGACGATGAACAACTTCTTCTCACCTCTGCCCGTCATCTCGACGTTCCGTCCCTGACCAACGCTCAACTACACCGTATCCTGGCCGATCTATTTATGGATCGGACTACTGAAGCCATTGGGCGGCGGCTAACTAGACTTGGTTGGCACCGATCATTTTTACCTGCATCACCGGTCATCCAGCTCAACTGTCTTCCTTTGATCTGCTCCAACCTGCTTTGTGACGGCGAACCCTATGATGATGATGATGCTATTAATGCCTCTTGTTCCAATGATCACCTCTCTCCTGATGATGTATCAGGAAATATTGAGTCCTCTGACTCTACAACAACTTCATCTTCCTCACCACCCCGCCTGAGTCACCAACAAATTCATGCCACGATCCAATTTTGCCTCCCAATTCATCAGATTCAGAAGCCTACGACGATTCTGACTCCTCTTCGTCATCGATGTCATCGCAATGTAATGTCTTCGTCCCCTTTAATCAGATACCCATTCATTCCTCACGTCGATTACAGCAAGCAACGCCGACAATCATTATCTCTTCTGACTCAGAAGAAGCGACGGAGTCAGA